AATAACTAAATAAATTGAGGGAGAGAATGGAGACGAGAAGATGAAGAAGAAAAAAGTGATCTTGAAGAAGCGGAGGAATTAATTTCCCGTTCAATTTGTCGGATGAAAAAATGAGAGAAATAATTATTGATATTTGATACGACAACGTATGATTTTTTTTTTCCTCGGGAATAACCCCGCGGTCTTCATCCTTTTCACCCCGGAACATTTACTCGGTGATAAAAGTCCATATTGGCTCAGCGAAGCCCTCGCAGCGCCGGGACATAAAATCATGCTTACGATCGCAATAAAATCCGCACATACGTACGTCAGCATAAACGTAGTATTCACACGGAATTTAAATAGCTCGAGTAGGGCCCGAAATTTTAACTGAATATTGTACCTTTGTACAGAAATACTGAAAGTGGGAAAATCTCGATAAAAACAGACCGAAGGGCCGGAAGAATAATTCACCATTTATTCAACCCCCAGGTGGTCCATTACGACGGGATTAATGCGTCTGACCTTTTACAGCAACAGGACCAACTGTCAATTTAATTTTCAATTTAATTTTCCTTTTAATTTTCCCTTCTAAGAGTTTGCGTGGGCAGATAAAAATTCCCCGATGGACGGGAAAAGAGGATTTTTCGTCATTTTTTTCACTTCGACCTTCGTCGAGCCTTTAATGAGCGATGTATTCCCATAAAAAATATGCAGTTAAGGAATTACGGCTTCCGAATATTTTTTTTATAGCATTGAGACACAGAATATTCCACAATGCACCGCGCCATATTGCACTTAAAAAATTGTCTGCCGTACATCGTAAAATAAGTCATACACGAGTAAACTTTTATCTTCGCAGTTTTGGAGGCCCCGAAAATGTTTATTCCTTTATGTAACATTTCTCCTCGTTTTAGCATTCACACGAGAAGGAAAAAAAAATACGCGTGAAAAAAAAAATTTGAATCAATCGCGCAAATTTATTTTGATAATTAAAAAAAAAATGCATTTGTCTGCCAATAGGTCACGGCAATATAAACGCGTCGGATTTCGATCGAATAAATTATTTGTAAACTATTTATTTGATTGGAATAATTTTTTTAAATTTTTTTTCATGAAGTTTCCTTATGATCCACTTCTTATAGCCGGAACTGACGATTTAAGAAATCGAATGCAATTGATTTGATACGGACTAATCCATAAAATGGTTCAATGGCTCTTAATTCTTATCTGTGGTTATCCAGTCACGCCTACTCTGTTAACGGCTTTCGTATGAAATGTGTCGAGATCACTTCATACTCTCATTCGCAAAATATTTCTCTAATCAATCCGTCACAGGTACTTTAGTTTTAACGAGAAAATGTGAAATTTCGTTCACCCATATTAGCCACACCAACTTTATCAGTTAAAAATGTAAATTGTGGGGGAGAACTCACTAACTTTCAAATAATTAACTTGTTTCATGCGCTCACGATTTTTTTTTTCATCTAGAGTTATAGATTTTAACCTCAAACATAAACAGAAAATTTCAAAGATTAATTATTGCGAGTTAAGAGGAAAATATAAAGTCAATGAAAAATTTTATTTTATTTTATCCGTGGGGGAACTTTAAGTTCTTTCGGAGTAACTGGAAAATATTCTCATTTTTTTAAATAAAGTTGCGCACATGGGGTAAAGAGTTCCAGAAATTCGTTAACAACCTTCAGAAAACAGCTGATGAACTTTGTTAATTATCAACAGACTCGTTGTGAGCCAATGACAGATCTCGTTAGCTACGGAAAGTTTGTCTTTTCGTACTCGAGCGAGTGTTTTGGTCATGTTTGGAGGTAAATACATAATCTCGGATTTAACGTTTCTGTCGTCATGTGGCAAATGGCACGCGGTAATAATAAACTAGCGTGCAAATCACGTTTGTGTGATTTGATTCCAGGAATATTCGAAAACTGAAAGCTCCCGGAATTCCTGACATCCTTTGCATTCGACATTAATTGAACTATTCGATATTCCGATTTCCACCCGCACTTTACGAATTTTCAGAACGACTCGAATCACTCGTTTTCCCGCAATTATTACATCAATTGAATGTAAAAAATATTCATTCCTCTTAAATGACATCCCGGGTAAAAAAAAAATTGTTCTCGGAATATTTTTTCCAAATTTTCAAAAATTTCTGGAAAACTTTTCAGAAAATTTTTCCTTTGAAACAAAAAAAAATTGGGAAGCAAAACAATTGTATTTTTGGGAAATGTTTTGAAAAATTTTTCAAAACCTTTCCAAAAAATAAAATTGTTTTGTTCTCCAATTTTTTTTTGTTTCATAAAAAAAAATTTCTGAAAAGTTTTCCATTTTTTGAAAATTTGGAAAAAATATTCCGATTGCAATTTTTTTTTACCCTGGATTCTTGCAGAAGTTCTACTATTTTTGGTGATCGTAATAAATAAATATGAGAATAATAATGAGCTTGCGCGTGCTCTATTGTCAATTTTTTTGTCAGAAACGCAAAAAAAATTTGGTCATTAATTTTGTCCCCGTTGATTAATGTTTTCAAGTGGTGAAGAGAATAGGGTATCACGAATATTCCAATCGCCAGAGGTATGAATTAAATCATCGACGACCAGTCGAGCGCAACTTCGTATTGTCCGGGGAATAATTAAATTGGTGAGGCGTGGATTTTTTCACATTCATTCCATTGAAATTGTGTGCATTTATCCATTTCGAGTCTCACCCAAGGTGACGACAAAATTGCGGAATATAAATGTTACAAGGCCATTTCCCAAACTCTCAATTTTTTTATCCCAATAAAAAAAAATTGTAGAAGTCAAATAAAATTGACAATCACCAAATTATTTTCACACCTAATTACCAATCATAAATTAATGGATAAAAAAAATCATTTCTACAACGGGTAAAAAAATTGAGTAATTCTATCCATCATACCTGCAATTTTTCTTTCCCTCATACGTCGCCACAATGTCTCGGCCTTTCGCATCGGCCAATTTTCAACTTTAGCACTGAAGCTACGAAAAAACTTGTATTCCCTAAAACTCGACATTTTCCGTGTCAAACGACTCGATTCATCTTCAAAATTCACTGAAGGCGCTGGAGATGCCCGCAATACTTGTGCATCTTGGGCGGCCATTTTCAATTATTTATATTCTTCAACGATTTGTTTATATACTTTGTACGTCAAACATAAACTATCACAGCTGATAATACTTGAAATGTCACTAGAGGTACTCTCGATTTCCCTCAGAATTTCCGCGGTGCCCCTAGGAGCAAAAAGTTATAGTTCATCGGGTTAATTACTAATCAGACTGTCCTCAAGATGATTGTAATATTTCCCATGACTGTTAATGCTTCTTAATTAATTATGACTCATGAATGATGGAGTTGAACCGAATTATTAGTGAAATCGAAATATTCAATTATTTTAAATTTTTCGAGAGAAATTATTCGATTCTGGATTCTAGATTTGAATTTCTCCGGTAGGTAAAATCACATCGAGAGGTCAAACACTTCATATGAAGAGTTTTCAAGTAATGATGTGGGTATAGAGAAAGGTAAATCCAACGTCTATTTTTATCCCGCGGTATCCACTTCCGGCAAAATGAGGGGTTGATTCAACAAGGAAACCCTTACACTAACGATCAAGATTGAAATCGCTTTGGGAAAATACTTTCCTTTCGTCGATGAGATTGCAATTATTCCCGGATTATTCCACCCCCGTCAGGAAATACCACTCGATAGAATTGAGAATAATTACCAAAATTTAACTAGAGTGAAGTGCTATTACGGAAATAAGCACCAGAAGATACGTAAATCATTATTAATTGATAAATCGTCATAATTTCAGAGAATAGAATGAACTCATAATTCTCTCTCAAAAAAAAGAATATTTCACTGTTCACCTTGAATACACGGAATAAATCCAGAGAGCGAAAGGATCGAAACAAAAATTGGGAAATACTTTTGTTATTCACCAATTGTTTAATTTTTTTTATGTGAAGCAAGGAGTTGGAGAATTTTTCGAGAAGGCGAATTTGGTTTCAGGAAGAATAAGAATAATAAGTCGAACCGCGTGAATTTAATTGATTGGATGAAATGGATCGAATGAGAGATGAGGGAAACGACATGAAACGTCGAATATTGAATTCAATACTTTTCTCATTGTTAGAATATTTTTTGGCGGTCATTATCGGTGAGAAAATTGACAGCTGGCGCGTTTGGCAACCGCTTGCTAACTGCGGAACGTTATTTCGCTCTCAAAGACTCTCAGATACTACCACCTTGTTAAATATCGAAACGTGCGGAGAATTCCAGCGCAGGCGTCTCAACAGTTTTTGTCCCGATACTATTTGATCCCAAGGGAGTAAATCTGCGCATGTCCTTCGGTCATTTTCAACCAAAAATTCTCATTCAATTCAGAAAAAAATAGGCCGAACGCTGAGACTCAAGTATCCGATTCAAAATAAATACCAATCGTTAAAAATCACTTCCAATTATCAACTCACAAATTAATTGAAATTATTGGAGGATACAGCGAAAATGTATTGAATTTTTTTTTTATAGAAGAGTATTAAAATTGTTTTGAAATAGTGGAAAAACCCGCGGCAATTCTCCGAGATTTAAAAATGCGAATCAATTGCAACGGATGGAGAATTCCGATATTTACAAAAAAAATAAAAGGTTAACCCAGAAAATTTGCTATTGATTTCGACGAGTAAAAACGAGGGAAAAACAATTATTTTGAATATGCGCGAAGTTAAACTCGATTTCGAACTTCCGCTTTCTGGGGAGGCCCTGAAGGTACCCGGGATGACCGTGAAAGTTAAATTGATTATTGATTTAATTTTCAAGGGAGAAACCCGTCGTCGTGTCGGTCTTTTGGTGGTGGAACTATATTATTATATTCAACGGGAATATATCCAGACATTTACGGAGCGCAATCGAATTCACGGCTCGATCAATTGATTCAAAAATATAAATTATTAAATTATTATTAAATTATTTTTTCAACTCACCAGATAAATAGCACTCGGACTGCGACCTCACGTACTGGATCCGCTGAAAATTAAAAAACAAAATATTCTATTAAAATCTTTTATAGCGAAAAATTTTGTAAAATGATTTTGATTTATGGGGAAATTGTGGATGTGAAATAACTTGACCACAATTTTTTCTCATGTCAGACATGATGGGAAAAATGAGTTTTTTTTTTATAAAAAGCTCATTGTATATTACTCTTCAATCCTCACGGCATTACAAGGCCGAATGTTTTATCAAGAAAGTGAGAAATGAAGAATTTCCTTTGACGAATCACAAATTTTACTCTTGAAATAGACTATCCGTGGAAGTTGATGGATTCGGATGGAAATTGTTGCCTGGTGATTCATCAATTCTAAATTATTATTGATGATGATCAATGCTGATGTCCCGAGAGCTCCTCAATTACCCGATAATTGCGAAAAAAAAAAATGCCACGAGTTCACTCCAACTCAGTGATGAATTATCCAAAAGATCAGACGTACTCGAAAGCTTCTAATATTTACATTGTCTTGATATTTCCTTTCCGAATAATTAATGGTCCTAGAAAATAACGGATAGCTAGTTCCCCGGGTTAATGCGATGTACGCTCAGCCCAATTGCCCAAATAGTTTATGACGTCGTTAGCACTAAGTGCATTATCCACTTAAAATTCAGGTTCAACTTTAAGTTGTGTTTATCACTCTAATATGACCTAGCCAGGGATCACTGAAATTCCATCGTTACGATAAACTTTGGATTGATTAAAAATTACCCCCAAGCAATTAATTCCTTCAAAACCGTTGCGAAAATTGAATACCGGTTCAACCTGGCGTACGTATTAATTATTTCCCATGCATTAATTAATTGACGCAAATAATCCGCACCAGAATCAACATCCAACCATAAGAATTATTTTTCAACGTTATCACACCACACGCTAGACGATATCGCTGTCGAGTTTAAACCATCACACAGATATTCTATATAGGTGGTTTATTTGAGGGTTGAAATACACCAACCGAATAATGCGCTACATACGGCTGACTGATCGATTTGCTTTGATCGTGCACTAACACACGTGCAATATCCTGTAATTGACAGGGACAACCTAACGTGAATGTCCGGTCAAGCATATGCAAAGGGAGTCACTCGTGTGTCCATTGATACAACGTTTTTTTTAACCTTTGTTTTTCGTGTCGAGGTCAATTTATCCCTAAGTGACTTAACCGATAACCATCCAAAAATAAAAATTACCAGGTGGAAAATTTTTCCAAATTTTTAAATCCTCAACTTCCAAACCGATCAATCAATCTCAATTTCGATCAATACCGTCACTCTTCCAGCTTCCCAATTCTTTGAATCAAATTAATTGATTTATCATCTGTCAAACTGAATTATGAGATTAAAATCTCAGGAGATTCTGGGGTTTCATTCAACTACTTGTTGCTGGAGTGAGAGCAATTGATAAAAATATCTCTTTTTATTTTGCATTGCGATCAAACCTGACGAGCAAAAAAAAAATGTGCAAATTTATAATCCTTACTGGTAGAACAATGCGAAAATGCTCATCTCACATTGTCCCCATACGTGAAATACAAATACCCGCATTTGCAAGCAACCAACTCGGTACATGCATGAACGTGGGCAGTGACAAATGGCGGTCCACAAGTACGGATCTTGTGGATCAAGAAGGGACGAATTGATAAGTGTTTTCACATAGGCCGAGGAATATCTCAGCTGGCTAATCTCTGTACCAAATGCCATACACGCTTTTCACTACGCAAGTGATTAATGTCTCCCTCGAACGACTTATTCTAGCGAGTATTCTGTATCAGACGATTCTGTTAGCATTTGCATTGAAGTTTGAAAATTTACAATTTGTATGCTGTGTCGGGAGCAGTGAGTTGTAATTATTTTAAATTTTAACAGACGTTTTAACGACGACCGAGGATTATCAACCGAATGAAAAATTTTCTTAACTGCAATGTGATTTAAGCGAATTCTCACCTGTTTTGGTTGAGTTTTCTCAGCTTTATCGTTATTCTCCAACAATGGTGCGCTATTACTCTTTCCGCTCAATTCCACGGTGAGTGGCTCGTGTTTCAATTGTAAGCAACCCGCTGAGGATGAAGACACCACACGAGGCAATGATTCCAGCATCTCTCCAGAACTCAGTGAGCTACTGGTCGTCATTGTCAGACCTGATACAAATGTGAGAAACAAAATGATCGTTTGTGGGTAGAATGTAGATATTGTCATGCTAATCTTGTTGCTATCCCCGTACATTATTGTTTGTAATATTAACTCGTGGGTAGAGAAGACATTGAGAGATGGTCATTCAATGGAATTTAGTAGGAGAACAATATCGGGAAATGTTTAAGGCCATTTTTCTCTTTTTCAGTTACTGGTTTGAGGCACAAGTTGCGAATTATTTTAAAATTATTGTTTATCTATAATTGTCAATTGATATTTGTGATTACTTACCGAGAGGCAGATCACTCGATCTCGATGGTTTTGTTCTGGGTAAAGTATCCTCCTGACTACTGCTATCATTTTCTTGGAAAGCTTGATCAATATTTTCATTGGTTTGCGTGTGAACGCTCTCTCTCTTCACCCAAACATCAGCTGACCGCGATTTATTGTATCGTGAACTGAGTTTCGATGGCCTTCTCCTTATTTTTTCCCATGTTTCCTTCCTCTGGCATTTGGCTGTCGACGCTGAGTAAAACAAATTATTGATTTATATAATCGATCGAACGATTCAATCAGGGTAAACTCGATTTGTGGGGTGAATTATTATTATAATTGATAGCTTACGGTTGATTATTCGTCGATCTGTACTCCTCGGTGGACTGGCCGTTCCAATTCCACTTTCCAATGGGGAAGTGCCATCGGTGGTATCCGGGGAAATACTCCCGGAGGATATTTCATCCATACTTTGGAGCAAATCTTGAGAGGAGGAGGAGGATCGGTTGTCGTCGTCAACGGTGTCTTGGGCCGAGGGGTCCAGGACACTTTCGTCTTGCAGAGATTGAATATCCAAACGGGATTCTAATTCAATACGAAAATTTTTCCTTCACATCCAATTTTAAATACTTCTCCGACATCAGATAATTTCTCGTGACAATTTTTTTTTATCACTCTGGAGATGGAAAATATTCAGTAAATATTGATAAATACCTCGAGGTGACTCGCCGTCGCTGACCCACGTAAAACTCGAACTCCGTGAGATAGCAGGCGACGTTTGAGTGGCCATATCGGAACAAGTGAAGGACTCGGTTGGTGGACTAGCCGGACAACAGGACCCCGTGCCAGTTCTAAGCCTCAACAGGAGACCTGTTAATGACATTGCGATCTGGAACAAATAAATATGAAAAATTACCCTCCAATCGATCGAAAAATTCATAGATTCAAGTGGTAACGAAATTACCGATGGCGAGCGTTCATCATCGGCCACTTTTCCATCCTTATCCTCAATTGACTTATCAGCGCCGATTTGTCCATTCCAACACTCACCGGTAATTCCACCATGAAGCCCGGTCCCAGAAGAAATCCTCTCCTTATTCCAACACATCATACCAGCGTCTTTATCTGACTCAGACAGCCGTTTAGCAATGAGATCAGATCTCAAAGTAACAGGTGATACCGATCTCTTCCTTCCCAACGCCACAATCGGCACGGAATTTTTCCTCAGACTGGTTAATTGTTCCCTGGGTGTATCAAACGTTTGTTCCGGGAGAGATGAAACTCTAATGAGCTCCACCTTTTGTTGATCATCATCGTATAGAGGACTGTGATGTTTCGGCAAAAATCTCGAGAACAATCGTTTCTCATCCGTGGGAGTGACAGGTGCAGATCTCGTTGAATTGTTGATAAACATCAGATCATTTTCATTATTAATTGAACTCAAAGCACCACTGGTTAATTCAACACCAGTGATCCCCTGGTGCTTTCCACTTCTCTTTCTAAAGCTCATTGGACTCACTGAGATATTCTTTCTCCTCTCCCGATTATCCGATGACTGTCTTGGGGGTAATCTAGCGTTTGATTGACTCATTTCATCGCTATTAAATCTCAAACTTAAGTCTACTAGTTTCTTTGGTTCTCGTTCATTCGTAATCACCGTGTAATCATTAAAATTAGATTGTCTTTGTGATGAGCACTCGAGGTCAATTGGCAGACTAGAACTATTTCGATTCTCGAGAATTTTTAAATCGTTTTGTGAATCGTTGTACAGTGGCTCGTCGTAATCAGAGCTTGTTCCATCGTAATCCTTGTTTGTCGTATCGTTGAGACTTACAGGAAGACTTCCACTTCTTCGACGAGATCCACCGACAACTGGGATGGAATCACGGGGCTCTGCATAATCAGAGTTGAGTAAATTTTCACTCGAATCTTCAGTTGTTCTGGTGGAAGTGCCGGAGGAATTGATGGGGGACTCGATTTTCGGTGATTGCCCGCATTTTGGGGTGGAGTTGTCGGTTATTCTCTCATCAGATATCCCAAACTCCTGGAGTAAATCTTGATATCGAATCACTGGGGGATCACTGGCTGGTGATGGCTTTGGCGGTGGAAGTAATCCGGTGATTTTCAGTGGAGGCAGTGCGGTTAAACATGACGAATTTAGATCATTGGTAACTTTTATGGTGGAATTGGGAGGATCTTGGTGAATTTTTATGGTTGATGATGTTGATGTGTCGGGATGATGGACCGGTTTGGAAACCTTCTGAGGAGACGGAGACGGCAATGGTGGTGTTGTAATTATTATATCGTCTATTTCCTCCTGTAACATAAAACAATAATTTTCCAATTCCCCAATTTTCAAATCTATAATGCAAAAAATGTAAAATTAAATGCGATGAATTAAAAATTCGTAATAAATGAAAATTGGATTTGGCTCGTGGAATTCTGAATGACTCAGTCTTCAATTTATTTAGTAAATGAAATCACGAGTCACTCATGAGAAAGAGATAAAATCACGAATGAAATGCAGAGTCCCTAAAAAAGTCTGCGAGGGAATTTCACATAAATGAGTTCCCATTAAATAGTTAACGTTTTTCCGCTCAATGCTCAAAGTAAAATTTTCCCCGTGGATATTCATTGGGTATTTATTTATCTAATTCCCGGGACTTTTATTGCATCACTCACTCGTCAAATGCGATCACTTGAACTGTCCCTAAATTCCAAAAGCCCAAGTATCCACTTAACAGAAGCTATTCAAACCCACAAGAATAATTTACCAATTTTTTATCAACGCATTTAGTGCTACTTTGACGACAAACAATATTCATAAAGTCGAGGGCAGTAACATTGAGTTGTAAATCGCTAGATAACGAGGGACAAAACAGTTGCACATATAAGGTGTACGGTGTTGCGTAACGTAATGAATAGTAATTACTTGGCATGTGGTGCCTGGATGTCTCAAGTTTTCATGCCCATCATTTCCTTAATTTCTCTCTGCATCATTTAATCGCACATGCACTTACACTCAAACACATCTCCAGGTGTTACTCATGCATTTACACCTGGAATTTTATTGATTCAACAATTCACGGATTTTTTTATATTTACAAATGGTATGATTATTCCGTCAATGCCATTGTACGCGACTAATGCACTTTATGTAATCTCATTGAATATTCTATTGAGAGTGGTAGTGCGTCATAAAAGTACAATGACCTCAAGCCCATAAATTTCTTTAGTACATCCTGAAAAATTTAACTCAATCGCAGAAATTATTTTCAATCTAAACATTTCCCTCTAAACAAATAATTATTGCGAAGCAACAAATTTGCGGGATTGTTTAAATAAAAAAAAATGGCCGGATATTTTAAAAAATATGATTTTTCAGAAATATTTTACCGCGGATTACATGAAGATTATTTATTTACATTAAAATTATTATTAGTTGAGATATTCAGAGCATTTCAAATAGTTTATAATGAATGCACCGCCATCTATTGGTCGGATATAAAATCTATGAATGAGAGACAGCGACACGGGATATTATCATTTTCTGTAGACAACATAGTACCATCGGTGGAACATAAAAAAATATCTAAAAATGAATTTCCTGTAACGAACCGAAAATATTTTGATTATGGAAATCCTCTATTCAAATCGCTCATTAAAATTTTGTCCAATTCATGATGACGAATCACAAAAATTGGGGAGATAATTCCCGACTCCTCCTCTCCTCAATATCAATAACTGCTTTACCTCATGAATTATTGAATTATTAATTTAAACCCGAGCTTCAGAAAATGACAGAATAAAAATATTTATTCGACATCTCAATAAAGCCTTTAAAAAAAATTTAAACTCGAATTTGAAAGGACAAAATTTTCAATATTAATACCCGTGATTATTCAATTAAAAAAATAAATAACAATGGCTTCAGACAAATATTTGCCCAGCGCAAGCCAAACAATTTTCAATGACCACTAAAACCACCGATTAAACATTTCATAAATTTTTTTTCATCAGCTCGGTATCCCGAGGGTGAAAAAAGGCGAAATAACTGTTGAAAAAAAAAAAAGTGAACGTAAGAATGGCGAATAAAAAGGAACGAATTCAGGATTGCAACTCTGGGGATCTTCCCACACGAGACTCACGACAAGATTATATTGCCGGATCCTCAACGAAAGGATCATATTGCCTTTTGCACACGACGTCACTGAGACCTTCCGCCTCTTCCCTTTATTTTTATTATTCTTTTTTTTTTATATTCACGTACTGTTTTTTTATCACCGCGCAGAGTATGGGAATTATGCAAACACATTGAGTAAAACGTATTTAAGTAACAGATGATTACGGTGCACACTAGGTTGTCAAGGATAAAATCATCTGCGCCTTGAAAATCCAATAAGTATTGGAGTCATTGAAAATTCACGTTTTCATTGATTTTAATAATTATGTTGTACATCTTGCATGAGCAACCGTCACAGGAATAATGAGTCATAAAAAAAATAGGGTTGAGCAATATCAAATTTCAAGCAGGAGTTGTCTTAATTGTCCACCGAGTACATTTTCATACAATGGTGTTTGCATAATTAATCATTAGAAACGTCCAAAGTGCGTTCCACATATTCCGCTTCCGGGATGACTAACTCATGCAAATAAAATTTATCATTTCACCACGAATTTAATTCACTAAAACCGAAAAATAACGCCGAATTATTGCAATAAAAAAAATGACGGTAACGCTCGCTAAAAAAAATAAAAGCAATGTGCTATGGCTTTCTAAAGTAACTAGTGAAAAAATTAGAGTGTAGAAAACCTTGAAAGCCTCTTGACCCATTAATTGTTGGAGTCACCTAAAGTGGAAGGGAAAACCGACACAAGAATTAGGAAAGTCGATAAAAATTAGTCTCGACTATTGCCGTATCTGAGAAGGCACTTGATAAACGTGTGAAATAATTCACTCGTTGTGTGTCTCTCATGGAAATAATGAATGCATTATTTCTTCACGGTCTTAACAGTACATTCACACGGTTCGCCATTTAAGTAATGACGATATTAATGAGAGCAACTGATAATTAATGAATGGACAAATGCGCATACTCGGGAATAACATATCCATTTCATTTTATTTCAATCATGAGGAATGCAAAATATTGAAAAATTTTAAAAATTTTAATAATCAAATTTTTTCTTCTCAAAAATGAAATAAATTATGGATTTGGAAAATTAATTTTTTCACTCTTTGTCAGTAATAAATGAGAGGTCGTATTTTATTTTAATCTCGTATTATCTATTGATCATGGAATTGAGGCTATCGTCACGGCCACCTGCTAGAAAAAAAAAGATAGAGGCATTGAACGAATCAATGACCCCGACAGCTGATCAAAACAACATCGATTCTCCCTCTGATATTGCGCACACCCTAGGCACAACGAGTCTATAATAATAATCTCATGCCCATCGTCTCATTGAGATCATTAAAGACCGTAATGATACCTGCGAAGGCAAACACGCCTACTTTATTACCCTCATCAATATTTTGCCAGGAAGTGCCAAAATATACCTGTCACCCCGACTATCGACACGAAAAAAAAAATACCAGAAAACTGATATATTACGTATTAAGTAAATAAATTAAAGAGATAACCGAAATTAACGAACGATTTTTCAAATTAATTCCAACTCTGAATGCACGCGAAGAATAATGGGGATAATAAATTGAAAGTATTCAATGAATTTTTATTTTCCATTAAATTGGAAAATAACGATAGCTTACACTTAACCTTTTGTTAAGCCCTAACCTGGTGAATATTTTCAACGAGTACCTGAAGACGAGGTAAAACACGACGGAAGTGACTATCAAGAACGCGTGCTGGTTGCAGTCATCAAACATCCGATGGCAATGACCCATTGGTTGCACATGTGTAAGTACGCGGTATGATGAACATTCAATTGCACTGATAGACGTGATGTGGTAGTAAATAAGAGGATCTTTGACTTTTGCTTATATACTGCTGGATTATAAACATTCCTCACGGGATTCTCCACGAAAAAAAAAAAAAAAATGACAAATAATCATCCCCCGCCCCATAAAAAATCAGAGAGAATAAATAAACGGCGAAATCCGTAATTCATAAATGAAATTACGGCTGATAATGAAAGTGATACGCGGGTTTTGATAAATTGTTCTTATTTCACCGAGTGCTTTTCTGTTTTCTCCTTTTTTCTTCTTCGATTTCCAAATTCTACAGAGGTCGGCATTTAAAACCCCACCCAACAGCAGAATACAAGCACGATGAATTCGCGATACTCGATTACCATAATAAAAGAATAATGCGTGTGCAAAATCTATAAAACAATATCCTCAATAAGTCATTGACATGAATAATCTGTACATGTGTAAACATTAATGCCCCCACGGAGTAAACGTGGGTGACGACAGGATGTCCTGTAAACAATGGTAAACCTCAATAGAAAAATGAATAAAAAATAGTAATAACCCTGAGATTCCGAAACTCCTATCACTCACCGAGAGAATAAGACAAATTAGCTAATATTTTTATCGACACGGGGGTAAATAATCCAAAACCCGCCCAACCGGATGCGCGATAGTCCTACTCAACAAACCACCCACACTATCACTCGAATTGCCACATTTATGGCTGTAAATGCAGTACATACATAGACATATATGTTAATTCCCATGCATTAGTTGTTGATGGGGATTTGAATGCCAGTGAGTTGTGAATTTAAAATGAAATAGCCTCCACACCAATTATTTGAGCAATGCAAAAAATTATGTGTAGGTGCCATAATTATTGGTACAGGGAAAAAATTAAATTGAATATTCCAAATATTTTCGACGCGAAATAAATTTGTAATACCAAAAGGGTAAACTCTTCCGAGTTTTCCAGATACGAGATATTTTTCTGAATTCCGTAATTTCTTGACACTTGTTGCTTCATTTGAATTTACAATTCAGGAAATAATCAGCTACTCTAGCTGCTGTAGAATTTAATGACGAGTAATTTTATTTCGAAGAGATTTAGTGCTCGAATGATACTCATTATGTTAGATTAAAAAAATTATGGATGAATGGAAAGAAATAATAAATTGATGTGAGAAAAAAAAAAGTAGCGGATAACGAGTTTTGTATGATGTATGTTAATGCTCTTTCGAGACTTTTTTATCCAATTGAACGCCAACAGATGTTGATAGTCTCTAGTAACGGACTTAACGACTTACTTAATTCAGGGAATAGAAAACATCCAGTGACAGTCGGTTGAACAGTTAAAACCGCTTGCTATCGGAATAAATTTGGTGTATACGTGATTGTTAGAACGCAATGTCATTATGTCACGACAGGGAAATCCCCGGATCAAGATCATTATCCTCAATTTTCCCAGATAAAACCCTCGAACATTTTCCTATCATCCATTAACAGAAAATTACCGGAAAATTTACTGATTTTATTTTTGCTATTTTCTTGTGAATGGAAATTTTTTCATCAAATAAAATGCAATGGATTGGAATAAAGTTAGATTAGACAAGAAAATGTGAAATTTGTCTGAAAAAGTCTGACTGAAGATTAATAGCTCCATTACCGTATCTACCCCATCTCAATAAAGAAATTTCGCAAACAACTGTCATTTGTCAAGATGCACTGAGCCGACCCGTTACTCGGGTAATTGTCATTCAGTTGCACACCATTCGCTTGACCGATATCGCGTACAAACTTGCCATTACTTATCCCCTGGAATCCCACCCACTTTAAACCACCGATCCAACATAGAAAATAATCCCCAACCAAAACAAATCAACGTCCTCCACCATAAACTATTACCCAACGTTTTAAATAATTCACCCATTACCGGTAAATTAGTGGACGGTAAAAAATTAATTTTAGTAGAGATTAATGGTAAAAACCATAATTTTCCTCATCACACGTGTTATGAATCGCATAATGATAAAGTCACAGCCATTTGGAGAATTAAAGACTCGATTTTACGGATAATGTAAGACTTTCTAGTAGGGGAATGCCCCAGGGGCTTGTGCCTCTAATGATAACCTGGACTGGTATGTCAAACATGTTGTGAGATTGCGTATTCAATTCCCGTACGAAATCTGATACTATTTTTTACCGTCAATTCACGTAATCGAAAGAATTTTTTTTACCACCGATTCTTCGCATGAGAAATTACGATAAAATCGCGGTACACTCAGACATTTCAACTGAAATAATTGTAACAGTTTTCCACAGCTCTGTGGAATTAATTTATTCTATTCTATCGTATGCCCTAGTGATTTTATTTTTTTATTTTTTCAATATCACTCAAGTGCGATCGCCAAATGAACTTATGCAATGAAACTTTATGACGGGAAATAAATTCTTATCTGCGAAGTAGACTTGGTAATTTAAACTTTACCCAGAAAAAATATTAATTCACCCCAGGTGAATACTTACACTCCCTATAATACACACGTAGTATTTTTTATAGCATATAAACACCACAAAGTTTATATTCTCTGTGAAATCCGAGAATTATTACCTCCCCAACTAATTTCTAATTCCCTCTCTACCTGATATTAATTGCTCGCGAATTTACGACTGAGTGAGGAGAGCAGGTTTCCTAGGAAGGAATTGCTCAGTTATTAATACATCATCATCATACAGAGTTCAATCAATTCTCGTTGATGATTCATTCAACAGCAAGTAGCTGATAAGAAATGCAGATATCACGCGTCCCACGGAAATAATTCATTAAAAGATCAAAATTTAGTAGGAACTTTCATTTTAAAAAAATGCCTCGGTTTTCCTTTTTCAACGACTCAACGCAAAATTTTCTCGCTTCGCCATCAATTTCATGGATATAAAAATAAAATAAAAATAGTATTGACTCACAATGACTCGTGCCAGGTAGATCTCCAGTTCTCTGTAAGGATCTGGTTTTTTCAACGTTCGCAATGAAGTGGAGTGATTCGATTTACATGGCTGATGATGATTGTCGCTTTCACCAATTACCAAGGAATTGTATCCGGTCGACGAATTCAAATTCAGTTGACAATCAACAGTCCCCATTGATTTATCAGGCCCAGGGCCCCTGATCGTACATTCAGAGCCATCCATTGCATGCACATCACCCCAATTTTTTAATCATCACAACAGGCATCTGTAACAATAAAAAATTCAACTATTAGTCCAGAAAAAAAAAATGAGAATCAATAAATAACACACCCATTGAAATTGACTGTACAATACCCTCGGGTGAATTTCATTTCAATTTCATTTAATTTTATCCAATTGAAGAAGATATCATCCATGACATATCCCCGATTAAATTCGATCCCCAGTTAATGATAAATGTTGTTGAAATGATTTGAATTCAATTTGCAAACTGGTAGTGCGCGTATAGAAATCGATGGATATACAGTATTTTAAATTCACCAAAGGGCCCGAAGGGTTTTTCAAATATTTATGTGGTGTCTCCAGGGGAAACGATATCAACAGTTATTTACAGCTTATTTCGACTTTATCTCGCTCTACAAATTCCTTTTCTACCTACGCGACAGGTACGTGCAACCAAACGCCCGTTTTATTCCAGACTATCATATTCAAAATAACGACAAAGTTGCCCACACTCTCTGCATCATCGACTATTCCCCTTTATTTTATTTTTATTATCATTTTTTTTTCACTTCTGTGGAATCAAGTGCACCAGTTCCTGGTGCTTATATGGAGCGTCTGCGTGAATTAATGATCCAGAAATTGAGAATTAAAACTTCACACTGACAGTAATATAGATATTGGGGATATCCCAGAATTTTTCGATTAAACTGTGTGGGTAATCTATTTTTAATCTCTATTTATCGTTATATGCAGAAAAAAAAATGATGATTTAAAATACGAGAGGGTATCATTGATGATCAGTTGATGATTCGACGGTTTATTTCTAGGAATCACACGTGTGGTGTGATAATATTGATACTCTCAGTTCAACATCCAAATGATTCACTATCAAGATAGGAGACAAGGGGAGTGAGAGTCTGTAAATTTTCAAATCAAGAGGATCGCTGTATTACAAATGTTCAAGGCTCCCGTGTGGAAAACATATCCGATTATGCCAGCTGCAGTTATCAATGAGTTTTGATAAGACGGAGATAACGGTTAATCGTAACATACTTCGCACATTATTCTTCACGCCATTAATTAGAATTCTGAGTAATTCACATTTCAATCATATCAATGTGTATCACTAGAACCAAAAATTAAATTCAAATTAAAAAATTAATTAACAATTGCTTCTTCTTGATTAATCAATTCTTCATAAATGAGAAATTGAATGGAGAGTCGTTGTCTCAAGTATTAATTCCACCTCGTTGATTTTATGGTTAATTTAAATAAATGATATTTTGAAATTCATCAATTGTGGATTCGACTTATTGTCTGCATCCTGTGGTGACACTTGCGAGGAAATGACAGAGAATAATTAATTACATGGTAATTACTCTAGCGAGAGGCACCCGTCACACCTCGTCCTCTCTTGCAAAAGGTCACATTAATAAATTACGACACAACAATTATATAGTGTCGGTTTTTCCTCATCGCGGGGTGATTGAGTCTCAAACGTCACCATCTAACAAATTGATATTGGGAAATCCATCATGTTGTCGGTTAATTATTATAGAATTACTGTACAACGGCTCAAGTTAAATATCAATTCATCGAGTCTTTAAATTGAAATCAATTCATGAATGAAATTACAGTCACCGACTGGTTTTCAATCAAAATGAGAACTAATCAGATGATCTTGAGATATAATGTCCTATTATTATATCCGTGCTATTTATGACTACTCGACGTTATCTTTCAAGTGGAAAATGAAATATATAATAAAATTCAATGAAATGTCTTCCGCAATATTCAACGAGAAAATTACTAATTGGCTTTCAATTTTCGATTAATTAAAATTGAATGACAGCGTTTGATAATGTCTAATAAATTTGTCTGAATAAATTACAATAAATGAAAAATACGAGGGAAAATATCAGAAGTCTTTTCCGAGGCCAGAAAATTCTATAAAAAGAATCTCATTACTGAGGTAATTTAGAAAATATAAATAGGAATTTCGTCACAGCCAACAATATAACTGGTCACAGAAGAAATAATGAGTATTGAACACGTAAAGTATCCGGTTACTAAGCAGCACGTTTTTTACGTGATTTTTAGTGAAGCTGAATTGAGCAATAATTGCTCAATCCACCGGCACTCGTAATTTCATCGGAAAAAATCCATATTCTAGTGAAAAACCGTTCAAATGATTTAATGGAATTTCCTGTGAACTTCTTGTCAAAAATCTGGGAAAGATCAAAGTCGGTGATCACGAAAAAAAAAAGAATGAAAGTAGAAAAAAAAAGGTATTCATGACCTTCCGCGTTGGGAGGGTGTCACACGAGTAGCCGTTTATTCTTATAACTGAACACCAAGGGATTTTTACATGAAAAAGGTCCCATTTCTCGACTTGAAAATAAAAAATTAACATGAAAGCCGCCGCATAAGCCGACCCTCGTATCCCACTGATGAAAAAATAGGTTACACTTAATAACGATCAAAAAATATGCTATGAGGAATTATAATCCCCCGCAGACTATTATTCCGAGGGACTGTGTATTAATAATGCATTCACGAATAACGGATTCCCCCATCAATCAAAAAATACTTAGAAAATATTTAATCTCCAGTTTGAATAAAAAATCGATTAATTACCGTCGACTATAATTTTTTCTTGATAAACAAAAAAATGTAATTTTTATTGCACGTCAGAGTAAATTATCGTGATGACATAATCAACAAAAATTATACCCCCATCTAACAACAGAAAATAACAATAATTCACTCACACGAATGCCGGCTATTCCAGCGATAATAGTTCATATCTTCAACTTTTGTCTTATCATTATTTATGCCGTTTAATTAGGCACTGGTGCAACAAACTCGACTCTATCGCGTAGTGTGCGCCCACATTCACAGAATGTTATAATGACTGCATAGATATTTTGCCGTGTATGTATTGTGAATACTGATAATATACATTCTCCTCGATTTGCTTCCGTTCATGTACTGCAATCATCGCGTCAACTCGAGTAGCACGATAATGACGGGCCGCAATTACAATGCACTTACCCCTCGCTAGACAACTCTGAATATATCACAGCTGTGTGTGCATCATGTCCAATATTTATACGTTACAATGTTACACCGTGAAAGCATGTGTGGATCAAGTTTTGCGCGTGAAGAAAGAATTTTTTTTTTATATTCAAGGTCGAAATAATAATTTCTATCACCCGAAAATTTCGCCGTTTCGCGATTTCACGAGATCGCGAGATCGCCACGTGTCGCGACTACCAAAAGACAACAATTTAGGATAAATTATTAATTGACGAATCATTTATTAAACTTCGAAATTGCAAAGGGAAGAATTTTCCATATTCTGGGTTTTCTGAGGAATTTTGGCAATGAAAAGCGATTTTAAAAAATTGTTAAAACCGAAAATGTATCTTGGAGTGCATCAACCGAGGGTCAAGGAGAGTCAGATGTGTTTAGAATGATTTAGCATTCGCTAAATGCCATGGGTATTCACGTAACACAGGTATTGAATACTGTTCGTTTAGACTCTGTGGTATCGTTCTCGCAACGTAAAGACCTTGCAAGGTTGTTGGCTGCGGTTAAGAAAGGCCTTAAAACTTCCTCACCGGACACTTTAAATTCCCCACAATTAAGAAGACAATATTGACACGCCATTTTCAACTTTCCCCGATGTCATCGACCCCATCTCATATTCTCAATTCCCATGATAATACCATCTCCACCTCTCACACCATATTTTTCCAAATAAAAAATAATGCAGGATCCACCGACAGAGGAGACACCCCAGGTAGACAAAAACCCTCAACTATTTGTTTAGGATGTAACCTAGAACCTAAATTCTCACAGGGAAGAATGAAAAATCTCGAGATCTTCAAATAACTGTCAAGATATTTAAAAAAAATTCTAATCTAGTGAGTCACAAGTACAAGACAACTCCAGATCTTTTGGACTGATAGCAAAAAAAAAATGGGTTTAGACTTTGAATAGTGAAACTGACACAAGGACAGAAATGCGAGTTGTTAAGGGTCAGGAATCGTTTAGTCGTTTGGAATGGGAAAACGCCTCGTGGTCTCTCACAGTCAAACGAGATCTACTTGTATAGAGTACGCGGTATACGATTCGCTTGCTAAACAGGTTTTACACGCAGTTGAATCCAATATGGTTGTGATATCGTCGTAGATCTTTACAGAAATGACCCCCTAGTTTGGCCTTGCCATGGGTTACGATTTTTCGCATATCCAACAAATCGTGTATTTGTCTAATTAGTATCGTGCCCATTTACCTCCCTAAATTATCCAATTTAAATTACCCTAATAGGTTCATTGTCTGACCATTCTCATGTATAAGATCATATCCTCCTCTTCATTATTTATATTTTATTATTCAATAATTCGTTTATCCAGAAGTGAAATAATATCTCGAATTTTCAACGCTTGCGTCAGTGCCGTCGCTATTTAAAAATCTCTTATCAATAATAAACACCCGATGAATGACGTTAGCCAAAAATTTCGGAAGTCATGGAATATAAAATGCGAATATCTGTTTCGGTAGCGCAGAAGGCAGTCTCATAATTTTTTTTCTCTCCATCTACGTCATCAAGATAAATAATTCATTTCAATTAATCAACAGCATCTGGAGTATGAGATATTGTTCGCCAATTACCTCAACTTCAGGTACAAATTGAAGACAATGATCTGACAATGATGAATCGATAAATAGCAATCGCTCAATGGTAAACTATTGAAAGAATATTTTTCACTTTAGTACATCATGCATCATTTTCAGCAACACGAGTGGGATAATTCCCATCCCCATTTATTTAATCTTTCCTCATTGTTCCAGCTCGTGATTAACTATCCACAACTTAATATGCCATATCATTTTATAGTTTTGCACAAAGACCGAGTCATTGTCCCATCGGCTAATTATTATCCATGACTCGACCTTTTCAAATGCATTTAAGCCTTTGTACTCGTGAATTCGTGATACCATATATGTTTTCCTTATGGTGATCACTAATTCACA